CCCCCCCCTACCCCCGCCCCTCCCCACCTCTTTGCTGTTTAGTTGAACCAAGAAAGAAATGAAACCCAAGCGCTCGTCTTGTCCATATCCTTGAATTACAATATCCTAGACTGCGCACATTGACGTACAGGTACATGTAATAACGATTCATCATTTACCGCATCATTTAACCATATTTGTGCCAAATGATGGGCAAAGAGGGGACCGTTGCATAATATGCACTCAACTATGGGTACAGGGTTATATTAAGCCTAATATTTGTCCATTATTTGCGTGGCCAGAGTGCGCAGTGCGCACCAGTGCAGGAAAAGTTGTTTTTTTTAAAAGAGAGCGACGACCGGTGGCCATGACAGTGCCCAATCTAGGAAACTTTACTTTAATACAAATCTATGGCTTTTCTGAGAGTGCTGCAGATGCCTGCATTTAGTGCGTAACGGAATTATTATTTTTTTCGCGCAATTTAACACGGTACCGAACGCGACCTATTCATTTCAGTACTCTGTACGAAGTGGTTATTGGCCAATATTGGGGAAAGTACACTTGTCACAGGAACTCATTTTCGCATATAAATGCCCTGCTCATCAGTGCAAAGAAAAAAAGTAATTCTCCCCAAACCAACGAATATACGCATCGCTTCCGGTCTTCCTTTCTCCCTCCCACTCTTAATACCTGATAAACGAGATCTTTCGTCGGCGGGACCACATCTAAATAAAAATTTTGTAATTGTATTTGCTTGCGCCAAAATCTTGAAGGGAAATGTACTTTCTCCAAAACGACTCTTTCTTTCTGTTGTTTGTCTGTTTTGTCTGAAAGTGTATATGAAATACAATCGAATCTGCTCTAATGCACTAAAGACAACCCGCAAAAGACAATGACCTGTTCAAACGGCCACTTCCTATCCCTCTCCCCCCTCCCTCCCAGTTTTTACGTTTTTCTCAAACGTTATAATAACGACACTATTTATAAAGACACCCATCTGTCTAAGACAATCGCTTACCTTCTCAAAATTAGGATCCGTCTTAAGCAATTTCGACTGTGATTTCTGACGAGCTTCCGGGTGTAGGAGGAAGGTGAGAACAGAAAAAGAACAGAATAAAAAAAAATTAAAGCTAAAATGAGAAGGGGAAAGGGGGGATTTGAGGTTGGGGTGGGGAAGTGAGAAAAATAGACATTAAGCAAAGAAGACGACATATTTACACACAGTAGAATTCGCAAAAGGGCCTTTGGACTGACTGAATAAAAAAACAACAGAAAGCAACATTGCCTTTCCTTTGACAATGGAGGGGATGAACAAAATATAGAGATATGGGTCTAACGCCTCAATAAAAAATTATAATGTAGCGTAGAGAACGAGTGCGATTTGCCCTAATGGACTTTCGGGTCAAATTATTAAAATTTGATGAAGGAAAACTGGCCAATTTGGCATAGTGTGCGCTGGCCA